TTATGGTACTGAGATTATGCACTCAGTTTAGCAAATATGCTTGCATTAAGGTTACTCGGATTATGCTTGAATGTTTAACTTTGTTTTGTACTCAGATTATGGTACTTAGTTTACCATTTATGATTGGATTATGGTACTGTGATTATGCACTCAGTTTAGCAAATATGCTTGGAATCTTGGATTAAGGTTACTCAGATTATGCTTGAAGTTTAACTCTGTTTTGTACTCAAATTATGGTAATTAGTTTACCAATTATGATTGGAGCTATTAACTATTTTGCTTGGTCAGAATACTCATAACTTGTAGCCATTACACTTTGATAGAAAGCTTGGTCATTACAGAATCAGTTACCCATTACATAATCATTCATTACAAATAGGACTACATATATGGTCATTACACAATCATTCATTACAGATCAACAGAACTAGTAGCCACCATAAGGTCCTTGTTTTCTCTAGGTATATTCACTACTAAAACTAAAACTACAAATAACACAATGCACACTACTATAACTGCAAATATCCTCGTACCCTCGTCCACCATTATTATTATTATTATTATTTTACATCATCCTTAGCTTGTAGCCTCATTTTCAGCCTTGCAATCTCTTCTTCATTTCGATTGATCCTTCTAAATAGCCCAGAAATTATTCTTCTTGACCTTGCGCACATTGGAGGATCATGCCATCTAACAAAACCACACCTTTGCCCTCCCTACACCAAACTCAAAGAATTGCAAGTTCAATCCTAAAGTAACAAAATTGAATACACAGAATGGAACCAAAATTAACATAATTGAATACACATACTCTTAAACCACTTACATTTTCCCTCACTACACCAAAATAAAAGAATTGCAAGTTTAATCCTAAAGTAACAGAATTGAATACACAATGGAACGAAAATTAACAGAATTGAGTACACAGATTCTTAAACTTTAAAAATAAATTTTAATTTCCCAATGGAACATTCCCATTTTCGAATGAACACAGATTCTTAAATGCTACACAGAATTGAATACACAGATTCTAATGGAACAAAAAATAAATTTTAAAAATAATTAAACCACTCACATTTTCGAATGAACATTCTCAATACCTTCTACCAAGATTATCATTCGTCCAAGATGTTTGTAGGTTCAAACGTTGCCCACATTGACAATTTGGAATTGTGACCAACTCACCGAATACGTATTCCTGCCTTCTTGCAGATGAGGAGCTCTCGCTGCTATATCTTGTATACATCTCAAAAGTGGACGAACAAAACACCGTTACCGTCGACTAGATTTTTGTTGAGTTTTCTGGGGCTTCGAATGGTATGTTGTGTCCTGAACATTCTAGGGTTTTGTCTATGTATAAAAGGGGGAATTGAAGGGAAATTGCGTATATGGAGCCTTGCAATCTGGAGTATTATACGATTTGAAGGTAAAAAGACACTATTAGTCATCCTTTTAACGTCAACATAACACCAAGGGAATGGAAGGACCAACATTGGAAACTTTTTAATAGTCGAGGGTTTAAATTGTCTAAATTAAAAGTCAATGATCAATTTTGAAAAATCAACATAGTCGGAGGACCAATGCTGGAATTAACTCCGTGCAGAAGGTTCATTATTTGTACATTGTTGGGTCATTATTTGTATACTTAAAGTTCATCATTTGGACATGTATGCACAAAATAATATGAAACAGATTGAATGTTCATTAATATTATGTTTAAGGTTCATTATTTGAACATGTACAAAATAATATGAAATTGATTGAAGGTTCATTATTTTTATATTCCAGGTTTATTATTTGACATGTGCAAATAATATATGTAATTGTTAAATATCTTATTTCTTTATAAAGTATAATTGAATTTATTCAACATACCCACATCTACTTAGAAATCTAGAATTGTCATCAATATAATAGCAATCCCTACCTTCAGCTGGTGAGTCCACTCGTCCGCTGGGAAAGACCGAAGCTATCACATTGCCAGAATTTTGAATGCTGTCTTGTTTCAGTTGTTTGTCAAGCCTGTTCCTCTTCAATGGAAGGTTGGGCTCGTTAAGCTCCCCAACATCCCTCATTGCCTTTCCAAATCTCTTCTCCAGTAACTCACTTCTCACCATTTCCTTCACCTCTTCAGGAACCTGCAAACAAGGAGTAATTAACATCTCCATTCACACCTCCATTAGCTACTTAATAAATACCAATAGATTATAATACCACATCAAGCAAAAACCTATTCCTTGATACAGATTCAACAGCAATCAAATTCGATCAAAATTCAGAACAGCAAAAAAAAAAAAAAAAACACACATACACACTGAGAACGCACGTCTCATGCACGCTTTCATTATCAACAAGTAGATTTCAAAGGGGGTGACCGGGTGAGTGTGAAAATCTGAAGAAATGGCTATAATCTAGAAAGTTAACAAGCAAATTACCAAGTCGAGTGGCAGATACAAGGCCAATGAGCACAAAAACTAAAATCTTCCCCGACTTCTGCTTCTTCGTCTCTACGGAATGAGGGTTCGAGACGAGGCTATCAACTCTGATACAGAGAGAGAGAGAGACAGAGCGAGAGAGACTGTGAGAGAGGGAGAGACTGAGAGAGCAAGAGAGACTGTGAGAGAGGGAGAGACTGAGAGAGCGAGAGAGACTGTGAGAGAGGGAGAGACTGAGAGAGCGAGAGAGACTATGAGAGAGAGAGGAAAACGGCTATGCTGCAGAGTATCTTTGTCTGCGCCTTATTCTTTCAGCCAGTTAATATACACAGTCAACAGAGAGGACTGGGAAATATAATTTATTTTCGCGTCCTAATATTTTTTATTTACTTACAAATTTGATATTTAAATGTTATTTTTGTTAGACTTAATTATATATTTGGCCCTAGATTTATAAGTGGTAGTCTACTTTTAATTTTTTTTATCATAATATTTATATTTAGTCCTAGTATTATTCTGATATGAACATTTTTTTTTATCATTTATCAATAAAATCGTTGAAATATTGTTAAATACAAATGCATTTCGATCATTTTTATACAAAATGAGTTGACCCTGCTATATTTTTATGTATTTAAAAAAAATCTGTAATTGAAGAGAAATATTTTTGTATTTAATGGCGTTAAAACTGTTTTGTTGATAGAGGACAAAAATGGTCATGCCACAATAATATTAAGACCAAATGCGAATGTTCTAATAAAAAAAAAAAAAAGACTAAAAGTGGATTATCACCTATAAAGAGTTAATGAACGAGTTGGTCCCTTAATTATTAGCGAACTATCAATGTAGTCACTCAATTGCTTATTCATCGATTTGGTCCCCGAAAATAATTATTTTTAGTCGATTTAGTCCCTCAGGCCGTCTTCCGTCGACGGTCGAAGGGACGAAATCGTACATTACCGTTATTACCGTCAATCAATAAAAATGGTACATGCAAAAGGTTCATTATTTGTATATTGTTGGGTCATTATTTGTATTTTTTAAAGTTTGGACATGTATGCACAAAATAATATGAAACAGACTGAATGTCCATTAATATTATGTTTAAGGTTCATTATATGAACATGTACAAAATAATATGAAATTGATTGAAGGTTCATTATTTGTATATATTCTAAGTTTATTATTTGACATGTACAAATAATATATGTAATTGTTGAATATCTTATTTCTTTATAGAGTACAATTGAATTTATTTAACATACCCACATCTACGTAGAAATCTAGAATTGTCATCAATAGCAATCAGAAAACTCGCAGCAACTTCAATGGGAGAACTAGCATCAACTACAAATTTTTATTTTTTATTTAAAAAAAAAAAAAAAAAAAAAAAAAAAAACTCCAAGTGAATTTCATTTTTGGTCATACTGTTATAGGGACGTTTCCAATTTTAGTCCACCTTAATTAGTTTTGCAACATTGCGACCACTGTTATTATAAGTATTCTATTTTTAGTCCACCGTTAAAATTTGCGTCAATTGACCGTGTAGTCCAGGGGTATTTTCATCTTTCCTCCTTTGTCTCTTCTCCTTTACCCTTTCTTCCCATCCGAGACCATGTTTGACTAAGGAAATCATATAATTAACCCTACAACCTAAAATCGAATGCAAATCTAAGTATAACTTCATCGCAATAATGTCGTTGCAGCTAGTGTCAGTGGCCACTGTAATAGCGTGCGCAACGGTGTCGATGGAGGGGGAGGTGTCGTTGTCGAAGCACGCCAAGTGGACGGAGCAAAACAAGGTAACGGACTACATGAAGCTGTCATCGCCGACGGAGCAAATCAAGTCGTCGTCGTCAGCGAAGGAGAAGCACAACAAAGCGTCGTGCGCGGTGCCGTCGTCATCGTCGGAGCAAGACAAGGCCAAGACGACGACTTTCCGTCCGCGGTGGTCGATTGAGGAAATGGATGGCAGAGAGGACTTTCTTCCGTTACCTTGGGCAGCGACGACAGAGAGGAATTCCGGCGAAGCAGCGGTCCTCTGGCGTATGACAGCTTTGCGATCTTCTCCAGCGTAGCTTTCCCCTCCGACGTGTACAGAGGCAACGACCCCTTCGACAGAGCAGTGGTGACGACGGTGAGCTTATCAGGTGGATAGCATGGCTGAGCAGTGGTGGTCGACGACCTTGTTTTTCCGAGCAAGCTAGCTGGGCAGTGGCGGCGTACGAAATCTGGCATCCCGTGTTCTCCTCTTTCCGACGAAGCAGAGACGAATTCCTCCTCACCATGAAGACAATGACAATGCTACCCAAAAGAGAATTAAGAAGACTTAGAAAAATTCAAACTAAAAGTAATATTTATTTAGACTAGCATATGAACATCTCCTATAATGCATACATACTTTCTCAACCTCCTGAAACACAAAAAGTCAATGCCCCCACATTGAAGTTCGAACCTAAAACCTCTCATTTGAGAAGTCACAACTATACCGCTCGACCACAAAGCCTTTGACAATTAATCAACACTTAAAACATAAGACACCATCAATCAAAGTCAGAGACATGGTTTTAGTAGGTGACATCTCCATTTAAATACTTTTCATTTTTTTTTTAAGTGTAAGCAATTGATAACAAAATAAGCAATGAATGAGAAGATGAAAGATAGAAGTACACCAATTTTAGAGTAGCTTGGTCGAGACTACTCTACTACCTACAGGCACCTCCTTCAAAAATCAACTTTACTTTTTGAGCCACTTTAAAACTTTGGTGGGCACTACAACCGCAGCACTAAACAGTCTTGGTGATAACACTTCTACGAACACCAATCTTTCATAGCTTAGAGTGAGACAAGACACTGATCATTCGTAGCTTAGAGTGAGACAAGACACCGATCGCTCGTCTCATGTGTCCCTTGCGCACCATCTTCCCCAATAGCGCTTTTACAGCTTTCGCCCCTTTGTAGCAAAGGTACAACAAAATTCACAATTTTGTTGCCAAAGTTGCCGCTATAACCAGCTACACTTAGTGTTGGGACAAATGCCTCTTACACCTAAGTGTTTACACCATAACAAAGATGGCATATTACATACACAGAAGACTGCCAGTTGCACTTAAATAATCTACTGATCATTTACACTACAGCTACACTGGCTGAGCTCCTCTTCTGCACACCTTCTGCACATCGTCTTCTGCATGAGAATCGACCTCTACTGTCAATTTTCAAACGACCCCTTCTCTAGTTGAATCTTCAGAATCCAAATCTATCAGCATTGGCTCATCATTCCTGATAGATTTACCATGTCGTCTTTCCACTATCCAATCATCCATGGGGTCAATCTCCTCGTCTGAGAAGTCGTTGCGTACATCTGGCTTAAAATTTTGTAACTGCAGATTGTAATGCACGAATGCCAGATCCCTCAGCCTCTCTTGCTCAATCTGGTTTCTTCCTTCTGTAAGTAAGGCCTCTGCCAATGTCCTCTTTAGGTTATATTTTGAGGCCCCATCACAGGTCTGACTCAGGATCCGGACAGCCATCTTTTGTAATTCAGGGCATTCTTCTCCATACTTTGACCACCAAAGTGCTGAAACTAAAGTTTGTTAGTAACTTAGTACATGTTTTGCCCAACTTACTTTTGGGCATAACTAATCCAAAAATTATTTTTAAAAAATTAAAAAATAAAAAAAGTCGTCTAAAGCTGGACTAAACATTAAAAAAAAAAAAAAAAAAAAAATAGTAAAGGATTTTATGCCTATCCAGTAGGGCATCTACAATGCTGGAGGGGTTTTCATTTTCCACAAAAAAAAAAAAAAAAAAAAAAAAATTAAAATTAAAATTAAAATTAAAAATTATCCTTGCCAGGAGAGTGGCCCTTGCTGGGGTGCAACGTGTTGCCCACGCTGCAGAATTGCCATTCATTTTTTTTTTTTCTGGGACAAGGTGCAAAGTATTTATACACTCTGCGCCTTATCTCTGTCTCCTCTCCACGTCTTCTTTCTGCCCACGCGGAGGAGTTTGATCCCCCATTGGATATGCACTTTGAAGCCTCAAGTTGACGGCTTTTTTCAAAGAGCTCTTATGATCAGAGAAATGGTTACTTTAAAGAGAATATCAAACTTCCAAAATTATCACTATATGTTTTATAAAAGACATCTATTTTCCCAAATTTCTGCTGAAGATTTTATGAAACTCATCTCCCTATTATATTCTCTTACTTTCTATCTCCCTTCTGAAATAAAATGGTGATTTTAGCATTGAAGTAAATTAATGTAAATATTCCTTTGATTCATAGTCCATGCCTTAACAAATGTCACTGCTTTCTACTTTCTCAACAATCAATACTTCTATATCAGAATACTTCCTGGATGCAGATAGATTCTGTCCTTCCTCAAAAGATAGTCAAGCTTGAAGGAACTCCTAGCCATGACAAGACTCAGACCTTGATCTTTCTTGAAGACAAAGTGTGAAGAAAAATGTGGGTAATTCAGGAAACAATTATTGAGACAGCGTATAAAAAGATGGGAGAAGATAAACTATTTAGGTTTTGATTCCTCATGAAAAAAGATTCATGTACTGTGGAAATCGATATCTTATACCAACAAATTGCCAGATTATTCCTAATTTCTGGATCTACTATAGCTGTAGTGGTGTTTCTGTGGGACTAGAAAGGGGAGAAGAAAAGAGGTATGAGATTTGAGTGAGACTGGGAGAAAGGGAAATCAAGAGAGAGGAAGGGGAATTTCTAAATTGCTGACAGGCAGGGAGAGAAAATGAATTTTTTTGACACATGTATCTTTATTTTAATAGATTTCTTTTTTTGCTTCGGTTCCAATTCTAAGGTTGTATATATGCAAACAAAAACTTCATTAATAATTTCTATTCCTATTTAATACCACATAGATATGCTACTTTTGCTAAAACCCATTCCCATTCCTTATTTTTTTAGTGCAATTATAATTTCAATACCTATGTTTGAACCAAATGTCCCCCATAGTTGCACTAAACAAGCTCTAACAATATTACTTAAAAGCAGAAAGTAATGACTAAATAAATAAATGAATAGTATTATCACCTGGATGAATATTTTCCAACTTGGCACTGCCTAAGCCAAAATCACCCTTAGCCATCCGGTACTTGTCAATCTGCAGCATCATCAAATCTTGAACACTAAGATTCGCTGACATACGAACAATGCAGCAACAGAGGCCACATGAAACTTCAGCATCAGCGAAGAAGTCATCTGAATAGAAAAGCCTAGGGTTCAAAAAGTATCCTGCAGCATGGAGAGGGCTGTGAAGATACTTGTTCCAAATTTCATCTATTGCTTCCCAGAATTGTATGTATTGGGATTTCCTCGACTGGAATTCTAACTTGATTGTCTCCTTAGCCTGGTCTATTGTGTCATATATAGAACCAATTTCTGGCTTATTACTACCATTGATCAATTTCAAAACCTTCACCAGGGGAATTGTGACCTTTAAGACCGTAAAAGCTCCATTCCAAAAAGTTTTATCCGCCACCAAGTCAGCAATGCTTTGCCCCTCCCTGGTAGAAGAACAAACTAAGGATTTCCAACCCGATGAGAGAAACATCTTTTGCAAGTCTTCCTCCTCCATGACCATGTTCTCAAGGGTAAGGAACGGAACTATTGACTTTATCTTGGAAGGCTTAACTAAGTCAGTAGAGCAAAATTTTCTTGCAAGTTTCAGGACATCCTCATTGCTGTAAACAAATTGTGTAATAGTTTTTGCCTTCTCCAATATTTCCTTGATGGCATCCATCATTGCAAGTTTGTTTAACATGAGTTCTATACAATGAGAAGCACTTACAGTCCAAAAAATTCTCTTATGCTTTTGGTTTACTCTCTTCCCTACATCCTCCATGAAAGTTGATGTTGAGTATGAGACAATTTGAACCACATTATCAACACCAACCTCCTCAATAACACTATCCAAAAAATCTTCCATTGCGACAGCATTACCATCAATTGCTGAAATATCATAGGATTGACGATAAACTGTGCCCTTTGGGCAATATACTAAGATATTAACAAGTTTTCGACCCCTTGAATCTACCCATCCGTCTAACAAGATGCTGCACCCTGTGGCTGCCCATACACTCTTGATATCAGATGTATACTCTTGCATCTCTTTCACTGCATCCTGAAGGATCCACCCTTTCAAATCATTACAAGTTGGAATTTTCATTGTATTAAAAGGGCCAATGATGGATTTTATCATCCTTACGAAGCTAGGTGATTTAATTGCATCGAAGTCAACTCCTGTTTCATAAAAGAACCTGCCAATACTTTTCTGGGCTTTTCTTAATGATGAATCACTGACACCACTACCTTCAGCCGGTGAGTCCACTTGTCCTCTGGGAAAGACCGAATCTATCACGTTGCCAGAATTTTGATCGCTGCTATCTTGTTTGTCAAGCTTGGCAGGACTGTACTCCCGCTTCCTCTTCAATGGAAGGTTCGGCTCGTCAAGCTCCCCAACATCCCTCATTGCATTTCCAAATCTCCTCTCCTGTAACTCATTTCTCAGCATTGCCTTCACATCTTCAGGAACCTGCAAACACGGAGCAACATCTCCACGGACACCTCCTAAGTGGCATTTAAGACGTTTGAGGCCACTAACAACCTTGCCACAATAGGTGCATTGATATCTACCCTTCTTATGATCCACAATGGTGCCAAATTCACGGGCATTAGTAGCCATTCCCACAAAACCTACAGATCACATATATCAACAGTTCAGCATTCTTTGAATCTAGATGCCAATAAATTCGTCCAAAATGCTGCATAGAGAATTTTTTTAAAAATCTGAGAACGCACGTCTCATGCACGTTTATCCCTATCACAATATAGAATTCAAAGGGGGAAATGCGAAAAACTGAAGAATGGTTATAATCTTGAAAATTAACAAGCTAATCACCGATAACTAAGGCATGAAGATATATTCCTAAATTTATAGATACAACAAAGGATGCAAGATAACTTTACGAAACAGATAGAATGGGGAAGGTTCATCACCCAGTCGAGTCGCAGATACAAGGCCAGTGAGCTTAAAAAGCTAAAATCTTTCCCCCACTTCTTCTTCGTCTCTACGGAATGAGGGTTCGAGAAGCAGGCTATCAACTCTGTTACAGAGAGAGAGAGAGAGATACAGTTTTGGCTGCAGAGTAGCTTTGTCTATGAGCCTTTGAGCGTTAGAGTCCACTGTAGCCTGTGCCTTTGAGCGTGTTGATTTACAGAGAGGGCTGGGGAATATAATTTATTTTCACATCCTACAATTATTAATTAATTACAATTTTGATATCTAAATATTATTTTTGTTATGCACAAATTTTATTTTGTTGGGCTACAAATCTACAATCGACATTTTCAACCAAATATCTTATAAAAAAGTATATCGAATATAGAATATATCACAATTTAATATTTAAGTAATACTTCTAGGGAAAATGACACTTTTTTCCCCTATGTTATATACTTATAGCACTTTTTCCCCCTCAATTATTTATGTAAGCACATTAGTCCCCTCAATTATTTTAAAAGTGGTGGTTTTTCCCCCTAATATATTAAATTGACATTTCTACCCTTAAAGTAAACATTTTATTTATTTTACTTCTCCAACAAATTATTGCGTATATGTAGCGATTACCACGGTTCGGTTCGAACTAAACCAGACACTATAGCAATCGAATTAAAAGCTTTCAGTTATGATTCAGATCTAGAACCCAATATTTGGATTTCAATTTATTAAATTTAAGAATAAAAAAAACTGGATCATGAACCGGCGGTTCCGGATCCCGTTCGCGATTTTGAAGTGTCTATATTTTAAAATTTTATTTTTTATTTTAAAATAGTTTAAATTCAACAATAAATGTATTTTATTTTTTCAGTTCGGAACATGAACCGGCCATTCCAGTTCGCGATTTTAATAAACTCTAAATATCGTGTTTTGATTATAAATTGTAATTGGAATATTTTGGTTTGGTTACTATAGTATCTGGTTTGAACCAAATTATAGTAATAATTTATTGGAGAATAAAAATAAATGAAATATTTATTTTAAGGGTAAATATGTCTATTTAACATTTTAGGGGGAAAAAGAGCCACTTAAATAATTGAGGGAAAAAAAGTGCTATAAGCATATAACATAGGGGGAAAAAGTGTCATTTTCCCATACTTCTATATTTTTACCTGAAAATAACTAAGTGAATTCGATATGATTTTGATTTGATTGTGTTTACTTAAGATAGTACTTATTATATTATTATTTTTAAAGAAAGTTATATTGAAAAACAAAACATGACAATCTTACTAATAATAATTTTAGACCATTTTTGTAGTGTTTTATAACATGTAAATAAAAAATGTAATTGTTGAGATTAGTTATATATTGACTTATTCAGCTTATAAAGTGAATTATGACTAGTTACGAATTAGCTATAAACAGTATTGAAGTCAATAATAAAGGGAGGGAATGGTGTCATCTATAGTTGGTGATTGTATTGTGACCACGTTTAAGTTATTAAATAATAGTTTGAAAACTACTCCAATTTATAGAAGTGTCATTTAGATAAAACATGGCAACCCTACCAATGATAATTTTAGTTTATTTGCATAGTGTTATGTGTTACATAAGCTGGAAATCTAGTTGTTGTGATGAGTTATATATTGATTTATTTAACTTGCAAATTGTATTTGAGTAGCGGTAGATGAACTAAAAATGACAATGAAGTCAATTGTCAAGGGAGGGAATGACGTCGTATAAAATTGGCGGCTAAGACTGTTTAAGTTGTTAAGTGACCGTTTTTTTTTTTTTTTTTTGAAAGGTGTAAGTGACAGTTTAGAAATTACTACAATTTACAAAAGTGTCACTCACATAGTTTTGAAATTTACCCCAATTTATAGAAGTGACATTGGGATAAAATTGGAAACCTTACCAATGAAAGTCTTAGTTTCTTTGCGTTATGTTATATATTATTAAGTACGGAGTATAAAATATAGTTGGTATGATGAGTTATACATTGACTTATTGAACTTGCAAATTATATATTTAAACATATGTGAATTAGTCAGAACATTATTGAAGTCAATAATAAAAGAAGTTAACAACGTTGTTTGAAGTAAGCGATTAAGACTATTTAAGTTGTTAAATAGTAATTTGGAAGCTCCCCAATTTACATAAATGTCTTCCGAATTTTATACGAAGGCAGCGTACAAAGAGTTAATTAGACCCTGAACTTTTAAAAGTTACAATTAAACATATCAACATATCATTTTAGTGCATCAAAATCCAAAATTCGACTAATGACTTGTAATATCATGTCTTTAGGATTCTGATGATGTATTGACTAGCTCTAGGGACAAAAATTGACGACCGACGAACAACTGCTCATCACTTTTGTCATTAAATAAAGCGATTGACAATCGCCTCCTTCACTGACAAAGGAGGCAACTTGATGGTAGCCTTACCCGACCACCTTCATCGTCAACCAACTTGATGGTGCTTTCCGCCGTAAGGGAAATGCTAGTGGTGGGCAGGAGTGGGCTATTCCAGTGATGCGAAGCTTCAGCGGCACGCCAGGTAGAGGAAGATGTGATATCGTGGATGATGCACGACCGGAAACAGTACATAATTTGTCTTTTCAGTTATTTTTCGTCAAAAATTTGGCCGGATGAACCGAAATTGAGAAAAATTGAATAATTAAGGTACTAAATTGACAATTTTATTTGAAACTCATTGACTACAATTAACAAGACCCCAATAGTAATAGGACCAAAAGTGAAATTAACTCATTGAAAAATTTTAAAGTTGTGCACAAAAAATGATAGAATTTCAAAAGTCGTGGGACAAAAAATGAAATTAATTCTAAAAAAATATATATTAGAAATAATATTATATTTTTGTTATATTTAATGCTATGGTAAGTGTGTAGATAAATATTAATTAGTTAGTAGAAATATCTTCTTCTTTTTTTTCCTTTTGAAAACGTAGAAATATCTTTTAGTTACGTTATATCATTTGTTTTAACCTTGATCAAGTATATTCGGATATAGATTGAGAAGAAAAAACAACAAAAGTATGATTTGAAAGTCACATTTTTTTTTTAATTTGATAAATCTTTTTCACATTATTTTTATGTGTCGATCAACATCGATACACAAATATACAATTGTAATTACCGAAATGTCGTTGTAATTGAGATTAGTCAATACGTTATTACTGGAGACATAATTTTCAGTTCAACCTATTTCTATATATTCACACAAACATTAGTAGACTATTGTATTAGTATTTATTTTTTAAAATTAGACAAATACATGTTAATCTTTTAAAATGTAGTGCATATAAAACAGTACTTTTTAAAATACTGGTATTTATGAAAATCTATTATTATTATTATATTTTTGAAAAATTATTATTATTAGTAATTAGTAATTTAGTATTATTATTTTGTAAGTTGATTCGTGAACAAACGTATATTAGTGGATTAACCCTTGGCGTCGGGGGCCCGGATATTTCGCGACCAATTATTTCCTAACAAGAAAAAATAAAAGAAAAAGAAAATAACTGTTCTTCCGACGATTGGAAAATGTCATAAATTTTGCTTCGGGTTTGTTGACTTTGAAACAATTTGTTGGAAGAAAGGAAGACCAAGAGATTACTTCCATTTTCCCTGAATTCCTTTGATTTCAACGAGGTATGTTGCTCAAATTATGCTCTTCCAAATATATTGGATTCATGCTCTTTTCCTTTCATCTTGCAAACGTTTTTGTGTGAATCCTTGCAGCTGTGGATTCAGCTTTCCCTTATTTTCTTTTCGTTTGCAAAGGGTCCCTGCAAAATTTGATCTTTCGAATTTATTGTTCGAAAAAAGCAAAATTGCAAAGAATGTGTGCGTTCTTTAGTTCATGGATGATGCAGATCTAGCAAGGCTTTATTTGATCATCTATACGCAGTTTTGGGGCTTTTGTTATAATGGGGGAAAAAAACTCTTTGGATGTGTGCAATGCTTGTGATTCTGGGGTACAATTAGAGTCGAAATTTTATTTTGAGATATTTCTAGTGTTTATGGGCTTCTTGTGATGTAATTGAATTATTGAAGGATGACTTAATCTGATATGCAGGGTTGCAACAAGGGTATTGGGAAGATTTTTAAGTTAATAACACATTATTTACATACTTATAATGAAATATGATGATGTAAAAAGTTTTCCTTGATCAAGAATCATTTAAGTAGCTAGATGTGTGTATTGATTTCTATGAAATTATTTATGCATATTCAACTCAAGTAGTATCGTATGAGTAGCATATAATCTATCAATTATGGATCAGTTTCTAAGCTCTGCAGATAACAACACCAATTTTCTACCCGTCTCTATTACAGATGGACGATGAAAGCAATGCCTATACTGTGGAGGAAGCTCTTGTTACTATGGGCTTTGGAAAATTCCAAGTTCTTGTGCTCATATATGCTGGGATGGGTTGGATTTCTGAAGCCATGGAAATGATGCTTCTCTCTTTTGTGGGACCAGCCGTGCAGTCTGCATGGAATCTTTCTCCTCATCAAGAGAGCTTACTTACTAGTATGGTTTTTGTTGGAATGTTATTTGGAGCCTACACATGGGGCATTGTTTCAGACAATTATGGAAGGAGGTAACTCATTGTGCCTTCTGTTGATCATAAAGTCATATGTGAGAAGTGTATATCTAGTTTTCGATTGTTTTTTTTTTTTTTCCTGATATCTAGAGACTTGCACTGTTCTTTACTCTTCAATTCTTATTGGTCTAATTTAATGGCTATGTTTTTCACAAGTGTGAACCTGACTTTATTTACACTTTGGCCTTTTCTGCTACTATAAATGATGCAAGGGTGCTCTTTGGTGTCTATTAATGGAATCCACCGCAATATGAGAGAAGTGGAAGTTCTGATTTCTGAATGAATGACTTTGTGAAACTGAATAATTTTGTTTCATCTCTGAATGGATCAAATGTAGTTATGTGCTTTTCTTAAAAGTGGCTTGAGAATCTATAATGCACTGTCATGATTTTCATCATAATTGTGAAGAGTTTGTATAACTGTGAGTCTATGAATTTTGGGCTGGTTCTTTTAGCATTTTTTTATTGTCATTCAATCTAGTGGTCTGTACCTGGCAAAGAAGAATAAACTCAAAGCCTGGAAATTAACGGTAAACATTCTCGCCTTAGGTTGAGCATATTTCCCGACTATTTTGTCAAGTAGGGAAGTTGCTAATCAACTCTCTTGCTTTTCTTTTGGGTTAAGAAGTTACCCATGTCTTGCTCTAATCAAAGGCAACAAATGGGCTTTTCCCCGCTCCAAGAGTTTAGCTAAGACCTACTGCATGGCTAATGTTATGATATAAAATGCTCCTTTGTTTGCCTCCGCCCGCTCCTATTTTTCTTCAGTTAATTTTCTATGCATACAAGTCTAACAATTCCCCCCTTCTCCTTTTGTTTGTCCCAACTATTTTATTCAACAGGAATGGATTTTTCGTGACAGCAATGATTACAGCATTAGCAGGTTTCTCAAGTTCTATGGCCTCAAATATAACAGTGCTGATTATCATGCGTTGTCTAGTTGGTGTTGGCTTAGGAGGAGGCCCTGTACTTTCGTCATGGTTCTTGGAGTTCATTCCTGCTCCAAATAGAGGCACTTGGATGGTAGTTTTTTCGGCTTTCTGGACGATCGGGACAATTTTTGAGGCTTCGCTTGCTTGGGTATGCTAATCCAGGTTTCTCAAGTCGAAATTTGCATCTTTTTTTCTCTTTTGATCTGCTTAACATGGAAGTGTTTCGTATTGGCTACTTTCATTGTCTTCTGGGTGAATTTGCCATTTGTACTGGGATTATTCTTTTTCACTGTTCCTTCAAGAACATGTATTAATGAGTTTCTTCCCCACTTTCTCGTTATCTTATCAGGCATCTCGAAATCATGCATATGATGCATTTTTCCCTGTTATTTTCTTAAAAGATAAATTACGTAGCTTTAATATCCTCGTGTTAAACTGGAAAGAAGAGTGGGAATAAACATGTTTGTTGCAGAATCCATATATCCAATACTTCTTCTGCTTATTGCAGGTTGTGATGCCAAAACTGGGCTGGAGATGGCTACTTGGGTTTTCTTCCATACCCTCTTCATTGCTTCTTTTGTTCTACGGTTTCACCATTGAATCACCGAGGTTTTTATGCGCAAAGGGGAGACGAGAAGAAGCATTACTTATCCTGGAGAAAATATCGAGAATTAATGGAGCGAAACTGCCCCCTGGGATGCTTGTTTCTGACAGAGAAGCTGCGGGGGCGGAAGGTAATGGCTCTGGCTCTGCATCAGAAGATAGACATTTGCTGTCACCAAAGGCAGAAGAAAGTGTAAAATCTAAACCGGTGGAACCTGCCACAGGATGGTTTTCTTCACTGGTTATGCTTCTTTCACCAGAATTAGCTAAATCGACTCTCCTTTTGTGGACGGTTTTCTTCGGGAATGCGTTTTCTTATTATGGCCTCGTTCTGCTGACAACCCAGTTGAACAGCAGTAAAAATAAATGCACTGCTACGGGGGTGCAATCTGACACTCACGGGGGTGTTAACTACCAAGACGTTTTAATCACTAGTTTTGCAGGTATGACTTCTTGTTCCAACCAGTTTTACTAAACACGAGACTCATCATCTTGATTACCGTTTTTTGTGTTTGGTTTACTTGAAGAAATCCCGGGACTTCTCCTCTCTGCTGCAACGATTGACAGGCTTGGTCGCAAACTCTCAATGTCATCCCTGTTCTTCATCTGCTGCGTTTTCCTTCTCCCGCTCGTGTACCCTCAATCCAAAACCCTAACAACCGGACTCCTGTTTGGAGCTCGCACATGCATCACCGCCACCTTCACCATCGTTTACATATACGCTCCAGAGGTAAGTCAAGAACACATTGTCCCGATCCTCATACATTTCCCCTCCCATGTTTTACAAAAACTGTAATCTCAGGTTCCAAACATTGTACTTTAAATATTGAGCTTTTAGTGGATTTAGGCAAATTCTCAAGTTGAGAAGTGCCTCGCAGATTAGGGTTGTTTGCCCGAACTGCGTTACAGATTGTTTGTGTTACAACTTCAGTTTCAACATCATGTTCTTGATTTGTGAATTTCAAAAACCATGACAAGTTGACAATGTGCGTTCCCTCTAGGGGTGTCAAAGTGGGTCAAAACCCGCGGGCTAACCCTGAACTGCCCTGGGTGGGTTAGGGCCTAATTTTTTTTTACCTGTGCGGGTTTGTGGGCCAATGCGGGCTAGGGTCACCTGAACTCTAGCCCGGGGCTGGCCTGCAAAAGCTCGCCAAAAGTTAGGCCAACGGTGGGGCAGGCCTAATGGGGCGAGCTGGTCTGCTTTGACAGTACTAATTCTCTCGTTACCAATTGCAGGTATACCCAACGTCTGTAAGAACCACCGGGTTTGGAATCGCGAGCTCGGTGGCAAGAATCGGGGGCATCGTGTGCCCGCTGGTTGCAGTAGGGTTGATCCATGGATGCCACCAGACTATGGCCATCTTGCTGTTTGAGATCGTCGCCTTCATGTCTGGCGTTTGTGTCATCTTCTTCCCCTTCGAGACCAAGGGCCGTGAGCTGAACGACAATGTATCCAGAACTAAGCGAGAGAATACACTAGAGATAAACTAATACAGGAGTACAGGACCCCAACACAAAAGAACTTTTATTTTTATTTTTCTAGCTATCTGTTTATCTATGGAGTTGCATACGTTGTATAGTCATTCTTTTATACGAGGATTCAATAATTAATTTTAGTCTTGGAGTTAGGTATTAATAACTCTAAATAGGTACAAGTTCTCAAAGCAAATATAATATTATTATGTTTTTTTGAAAACCAAAACCAGAACTTTTATAATATTATTATGTTATTCCAAGTGAGATTCAAATATTGAATGAGAAAAGATAGAGCTCACATGTCAACTAACGGGTCTAGGAGAGCCCGTTAATGACCATGTTGTTTGTCTTCAATTGCTACTTCATTCAATTCCCTAGTGAAACTCTTCAAGGGCTTGGTAGAGAGGTAAGGTTATTTGTTATCATTTAGATCAATTTTCTATGCATGTTATCCTTTCCATTCTGAAATGGGTTGGATCTCAAATCTTGTTCACAGTCAATTAGAAAGAAAGATCGCAAATTATTCTATAGACCGGGTTTAAATGTTTACAATTTAAATATTATCTTTTAAAAATTTACAATTTGTATACTACAAACACATAATCGATTACCTTGTTTTGTATTCACAAGTTCCTTAGATTCGATGACCTTGTATTGTATTCACAAATTCCCTTCTACAGTTGTTATGTGTTTTTTACTTAGAAACACAATTTATATTCTAGAAGTTCATAATTTCAATGCTAAAAATATACAATTTATATGTAATTTAGGACGAGAATCCACCTTGCAAGGTGGACCCTAGTCCATGGTATAATAACTCGACCCCAATTGTTATGCCATGGATCCGGGTCCACCTTGGAAGGTGGACCCAGGTCCAAAACGCGCGTCTGGAATAACAGTGCTATTAGTGGCACCGTTTCCTCAATCAATGATTTTTTTATTTTTTATTTTTGAATATAGAGTTCAAAAATTGTGAATATAGATTCAAAAATTGTGTTATATTGTTGAATATAGAGTTCTGTAATTGTAAATATAGAGTTCTTTAATTGTAAATATAGAGTTCTGCAATTGTGAATATTGAGTTCGGTAATTTTGTACATTGAGATCTAAAATTATAAATATTCAGTTCTAAAATTGTGAATATAGAGAAACGAATTCTAAAGACAAATGTCAAATTAACGACAAAAAACGAAGCAATTTTTTATTTCTTTTTTAAAATTCAAATGGCGTTGTTTTGAAGCAAAGCAACGCTATTTTAAACCCGAGTACACAACATAATTTTTGGTAAGGGTCCACAGTATAATTTGCCGCTGACTTACTTAGAGTTTCTAAATATGAGCTATTTGGATTGGGTTGTAGAGCATTGTAGATAGTTATGCGAAATCAGAACTGCGAATGGCACCCAAAACCGGGTGAACTCACATCCTATGGAATAGTAGCAAGTATAATTGCGTATCCCGAGGCCCCAAACATCTGCATGTTGTTAAACTAGCTTAATCGGAGTAGGGACAGCTTTATGATGTAACTGAAGCCCCTTGGATTGAAAGCTCCGTTTCTTATTCTCAATGTATATATATATTTTGAAAAATTAGAGTTATATTGATGAATTAAAATAAGACTTGCTTTTTTACTTAACATTTTTTTGTTCTATTCTCACAAATTTTAATGGTGATTTACTAACATTTTTATATATTAACACAAATTTTAATCGTGATGTAACAATTATATGTACTAACATGGACTTTTGAATGGATGAATTCACATTATTATTCAGACATATATATATATATATATATATATATATATATATATATCATTCACCTTATTAGTAACGCATAAGATTTCTTCGATATAATATAGCGGATTTTATTATATAAAATATTTTTAAAATACTCATAATAACTTGAATATTCTAAAAAAAAAAAAAAAAACTTAAAGATGTTTTTTCTTTATAAAATTATCTATGATTGATAAGACATAAAATACACGTTTTTTTAACCCTGCTAAATTACTCTTTGTATCATGGCGTTGCTGACGTTCGTCTGAAGGAGGTCTCTTAAGTAGACTCATCTAAAACCCAGTCGTTATATTGTACACCAGGGCGCACAATGCATTGTGCGCTCCGTCTTATCCAAAATGACGTCGTTTTGGTGCATTGTCTTAAAAAAAAAATTAAAATAAAAATCATATGTTTCAAATATACATAAACTCATAACAAAATACACAGAAACTCATAACTGAATACACATAATCTAACATGATACATGATATACAGAAACTCATAACACAATGCACAAAAACTTTTAACTGAATACACAGGTTTGGACCATTTGGACAGACGGAATGACTCAGCAATTGAAACGCATACATTTTGTGCCTGGACGTACATTGCTATGTGCGCCGTGGTGCACGATATAAATTGCCTCTAAAACCACCTTTATCTCCTTAACCACCTTAGCTTATCTCCTTACCTCATTCCACATTTTGCCTCAAGTTGGCAAGCTTATTAGCACATTTATTTCATTCTCTCAACAGGGACCTAATTTTAACAATCCCTCTATACTTCTATAGCCACAATCATCGTCTTGCAATCAACCACTATAGCCGATGAAGAATTCTATGGCAACTCCGAGATTAACTGGGATTTTAGTATGGTGAACCAGTCATATATACGAGTGGGTTGAGACAGCTATCGTGTTCCGGCCGGAGCTTAGATCGGCGCGTCCACCTTCGACAAATCCGGCCGCCGCCACAGTGCGGCGGACCTACTATGTATATATATATATATATATATATATATATATATATATATATCTGTTTCTGTGTCGTGCATTGGCGTCTGCCATCTGTGATTGATAAGAATTGTGGCAACACCTCTCGCCATCTTGGTATATCATTATAAATTTTTTAATAAAAAATCGAAGCATGCAAATAGTACAATTAGATTTGTAATAAAAAATGTTATCAAAAAAAGAAATTTCGGAGAAGAAGAGATTTGTAATAATAAAACAATTGTATAATTTTTATTACAAAATAGAATATTGCGGGAAAAAATAGATAATTGTGAAATACTTTCAAACCATTTTAAAAAAATATCAAGTAATATAAGATTTATTATATAAGTATTATTACACATAGAATTCAGTTCCTGTGCGGTTGAGTGTTTCTCGTGCGGTTGTGCGATTAAATATGAGTCATTGATTTTGTTTAAATCAACGTTCATGATTACCAAAAAAAATACGGTGACAATTTGGTAATTTTTGCATCTAGGTCAAATTTAAGGTGTGTGACTTTCCTTCTGAAGGTGCGTAATTTTTGTGCTTAAGGTGCGTGGGTTTTGTGCTTAATGTGAATACTTGTTGAAACTTAAGGTGCGTGGTTTTGTGCTTAAGGTGCATGATTTTTGTGCTTAAAGTGCGTGGGTTTTGTACTTTGAGTAGTTGTTGAAACTTAAGGTGCGTGATTTTCCTTCTTAAGGTGCGTAATTTGTATGCTTAAGGTGTGTCTTTTGTATAGCACAATGGAAAGAGGCAATCAAAGTCATCAAAATTCCAACCCAATTTTTCTTCTTCCCAACCATCTTCACAAAATTCTCAATTTCTCCAAAATTATAAATTTTCACAAAATGCCCAATTTCCGGGTAATATTCAATTTCCATCATTTGCACCTATATTTCAATATTCTCAATATGCGGGGTCTTCACAATCTTCAATCAACATACAAACTGTCCAATTTCTGAAGGTTAATTTTATTATGAACGGTACAAAGTACAAAAGAGGTTACTATATGTGAGTTTCGCCACGGAGGCTTTGAAAACTGAATGCAGTCCGGTCTGTGCAGTAGGCCTTCTTCCACTCTTTTTTGTTCATAGCTCCACGTCTTTGTACTCTGCAATTACAGTGGAAAATGAATTCCAAATTGATCATCGGCGGGTAAAAGACGAAGAGAAATGGCTCGCCGCGGGGATTGCGGGCCTTCAACAGAACACCTTCTACATGCATCGTGCTCTCATGTTTTCCCTACCCCAAATTACACGCCTCAAGATTGCTATATCCTAAAATTACTTTTTAAGACCTAATTTTGGCTATTTGCTTCCAGGATTCCAATTGAACAATCCGAAGGATGCATTGAAGTATTCGAAATGCAGAGTACAAATAAATCAAATACATAGGACAAATTTTTGTTGTGCAGTTGATCACGGAAATGAAAATGACTCATATTTTATAAAACATTTTAAAAGTCATTTTTCTACTTTCTAAATCGACTTTAAGCTTTTTTAGATAATTATGAGTTATCTGAGACTCCAAATATTTATCAGCATTTTGTAGCTGCAACCAGTATAATATTTTTTTTTCTCTATTTTCACAAATTTCAATGTTGATTTGCATAATACATTTATCTATTCTCATAAATTTTACTAGCAATTTAACAATTATGTAATGACATTATTTTTTTTGAAAGGGATGTATTGACATTATTATTTACCTACACATATATATATATAGCATTTACTTTATTGGTGAGCATATAGGATTTGTCAATACAATATAAGATGATTTGATTATATAAAATACTTTTTAAATACTCATAATAACTAGAATATTATAAATAAAAAAAAATCAAAAGATGTTTTTCCTTAAAAAAATAATATAAAATTGATAAAACATAAAATACACACTTTTTTTTAGTGTATTGGAGGGGCACCGCAGGGTGCCCCGCTAAGTTACTATTTGCCTCATGGCGCTATCGACATTAGCCTAAAGGAGGTCTCTAAGCAAGCTCCCGAAACTCACCATACCTCGTACTCAACATGTTCTTGTTGCTTAGCATTGGACTTGACTTTGTGTTCCGCCTCTCTATTATTATCATATTTATCAAACAATAATTAATTTATTTAAAGAGTAAATGCTAGCCAAGGTTTATCGAATTTGGTGATTTCGTCACATTTAGTTCTTAACTTTCAAATCGACCCTCCGTGATCTTCTGAATTTTGAAATTGACCTGCCGTAGTCCTTCAGTTAAGATATTTCATCTCAGTCGTGAAATTTAAGGGCAAAACAGACTTTTTATTACAACCCCAATAAATATAATAAAATATATTATTGTCTATTCTTTATATTGACCTTAATTCACTAGTACAGATCTGCACATCCGCTACCCTTGTACAAGAGTAGCGGATTTTAGGGACGCTGAAAGCCTTGAGCTTTCCGCTACCCTTTTACAAGGGTAGCGAAAAGTTGAGCATCTGCTACCTTTGTTTAATCAGAAGGGTAGCGAATAATATTAACTTATTAGTTTTTTTTAAAATCATTCGCTACCCTTCTTAAGAAAGAAGGGTAGCGCATTGTAATAAATTTCTTTAAAAAAAAAAAGAAATTCATTTTTATTTTAAAATCCCCCAATTTTTTTTATTTTTTTTTAATCTTGTATGAAATTCAACATAATACTAACCATCAACACAATATTATCAACAAACTATTAAAACACAATATTACCAACATACTATATATTAAAACAATATTATCAACGCACTTTTAATCAAATACTATCAATAAAATACCTTATATCAAAATCAAATACAGACATATATTTACAATGCACATGCATAACTCAAGGGGGAAGTGTAAATTAAAATGTGAATAATTCAAGCTTGGGAGACATTTTTGTGAAGATTCTGAGTGGCGGATGAAAATGAAAAAGAACTGTAATAGCATTATTGTTTTCTCATGCAGATGATGGTAAAACTGTAATGTGACCTTACCCCACCCACCCTCCCCCTTACTCCCAATCACCAGCCTCACCCCACCCTAAAAATTGTAATAAATATTTATGTATTTTTTTTTTAATTTGAATGCAAATATTTATGTATATATTATTATACAATGAATAAAAATTTTCTTTTGCCCTCGCTCCCCTTCTCTTCAATTTTTTTTTTTTTTAAATTATACTATGCATATATTAAATTAGTGTCTTATATGCGCGATGCACAAAAATATATGTCCAATATTAAAATCTTAATTATATTATATTTTTTTTATCTAAAGCAAATTAGTAATTGTGTCTTATGTTATTGATGCGGTAAATACACTGGAATATACGAATAAGTCTATGTATTTAGTGGTGTGTGGGCTCGAGACTTAAGGATAGTGAGTCAGAGGTTCCCGAGGAGGTATAAGTTAGGTGAAAGTTTCAAAAGTCCATCCCTTAAGTATTTAATGTGCTATTTTTAGAGAGATGGAGGAGCCAAGCACCTTGTGCTCAGATGGCATGTAGTGACCTCTCTCATGTGCAGGGGCGGAGCCACCCCTATCCGGGGGACCCTGGCCCCCCTCACCCCACCCCTCATTTTTAGTAAATATATAGGTATAATATTATTATAATATGGATAAATTACACTTTTGGCCCCCTCCTATTTTTTTTAAAAAATAATCTATTATGTATATATATTAAATGAACTCGAAAGTTACACTTTTCGTACCTAAATTATGAAATAATTGTAGAATTCGTCTATAATTGTTGGTCGTGTCACTTTTCGTCCTAAGCTATAATTGACATTGTAAATTTCGTCCTTTAATAACAAGTTGCGGTCACTCTGCCTTTCTAAGCTATACTTTGTTCCTAATGTTTTGTTAGTAAAGGGACGAAATTTGCAACATCAATTACGGAGTATATTTTAGGGACGAAAAGTATGCATGACTAATAATTATGAATTCTTCAATTATCCTATAACTTAGTGATTAAAAGTGTAATTTTTCTTATTTTTTACTATTGTATAATTTGTGTGTTATGTACAAAATTCAAAAGTAATGTTTGACAATCTTAATGATCGTACTCATATAATTATATATTTCATATATATTATTGCACATAATATAATTAAAAATAATTATCAATAATAAATGGCACATTCATATATGGTATATATATAATAATATTATGTGGTTGGTACTAATATCGATTAAGATGATGAATTTTCTCTATAAATTTGGCCCCCCAACCCCGACTTTCTGGCTCCGCCACTGCTCATGTGGGAAGTCATGAGATTGAGCCTCAGTGGAGGCGTTGTTGACTCTATGTAATAGAGTCAGTAACATTCAAACAAATAGAGAGATGGAGGATGTACATCACGTGGGATGTACATGTCGGTCGTCCGGCATGCTCGCCGCGCCACATGTGCTGCATGCATTGGTTAGGTCGGTGGCGCTTTTTATTAGCCTACGTGGATGATGAATCCTGACAAGCCTGTGTTTAACAGGATCAGTTAGAGGAGTTACATAGGTTTTATATCTCTTACGTAAGGATGTTCGGTCAGTGAGTCCCGGTCCGAGCAAGAAAGTCGAACCCAATCTCACAAGGCGTTGTGCGGTAGACAAATAATAATAATAATAATAATAATAATAATAATAATAATAATAATAATAATTAAAAGGGACAACTCAGGTCGGTCTGATCCGGACGTAAATACGGTCGGTCCGACTCGGGTTTAGTTCACCTGGGGACACATACCGATATGTACGGTTGCCAACTCGAGGGATATTCCTTATCTGTTATGAATTTTTGTGTTGTGAAATTCTGCGCCTATGAACACAAATTATATACCTAAATCATATTTGAAAATTAAATAAGTAAATATATATAACATCTTACGAGTATGAATTATGTATTTCGTATTTCGATTCATGGTCTATAATGCTATGTGGACCTTGGTTCACGATATAAATTGCCAAATAAAACATCTTCCATTTAAATTACATGTCAATATACTATTAATATTTGTTTTTATTTGAGGCATTTTAATCATTAAATATATGTATAAAAGATCTTAATCTAAAGAAAATAGGAGAAAAAAAGAAAAAGAAAGAAAAGGGTTTACCTTGATAATCTCCTGTACGCAAAAAACTGCAGAAATGTTGGAAAGCTTTTCACCATTAGTCTCCGGCCTTTCTTTCTCATTCCATCTGTTTTATCCTTAATTAAGCACTAATCTCTCTCTGTCTCTCTCTCCCCCAATCCTCCTTAGGGGACACACCTACACAACAAAGGAGAAAAAAGACAGAAGAGAATAGCGCCTAATCAAACCTTTTACAAACAGATAGACACAACATCGGATCGGAACAACAACAAAACCAATCCCCTCCCTCGCCGGAACAAAACTCATCCCATGTTGTTCGCGAGAAAAGGGGGCAATTCAAGATGAGAATAATAATAATAATGCTTCAGAAATGCCGTCAAGATTGAATTTTTCCCACCGCTTTTCTTTCGTAAGCTTTAGTTTCGATTCCCCGTCGTGATAGTTAGTTGGGTTTAATTAATTTCCTGTAGATTGCGATGATCAGGGTCGTGTACGTTGCCGCGGCGGCGGCGGCGAAAATAGGCGGACGACGGCGGGGGAATGTGGCTGTTCCGTCCATTGTTGTTGCGTTTATTGCTGTGTGGTTGTTTTCGTCACCCGCATGGGCTGCGCCGCCGCGAGACGGGGAAGCTCAAACTCTCGCCGGCGCCGGCTCCGCCGCCGCTCTGATGGAATTCAAGAATTCCCTCGTGTCGGGTCCCACCGGCGTAGCCGTCGAGCGCGCGCTTGTCTCCTGGAACCTCTCGACCAGCCCCTGCGTCGGGAACGTCGGGAATTGGTTCGGCGTGCGGTGCTTCAACGGCGACGTAATGGGGCTCCAGCTAGACAACCTGAACCTCGCCGGCGACATCGACGTGGACGCCCTGTTGCCGTTGCGTTTCCTCCGAATTTTAAGCTTCGAGCACAACAACTTCGAAGGGTTGATGCCGGATTGGAAAAAACTGGGCGCCCTCAAGTCTCTTTTCCTGTCCAATAACCGACTCTCCGGCCAGATCGCCGACGATGCTTTCTCCAGCATGGGTTCTTTGAAGAAAGTCCATCTGGCTAACAATAAATTCACCGGAAAAATCCCCACCTCCCTGGCAACCACCGCCAGACTCCTGGAGTTGAGGCTCGAAAACAATGCCTTCACCGGTCACTTGCCGGAGTTCCGCGCCGGACTCACTGTGTTCAACGCCTCTAATAATCAACTCGACGGACCAATCCCTCCAGCTCTATCTTCCCTGGATCCCTCTGTATTTTCCGGTATGAACATTCCAATTTTATGTAACATAATATTATTTTTGAGTTACCAAAAGAACCCCATAGCCATTACTAAGGGTATGTATAGGTAAATTTTATCTAATGACCCTAATAGGTAAAACACTAGGTAAAACAGTTTAAATTATTCATAAATAACCGACTCAAATCAATAAAGTTAATAGACCGTTCCTACTGAGTAATATTATAATTACTAAGTCAATTCAATAGCTAAACAAACTAGTTAGGGTTATTCCTTAACATAATATTATTTGTTGGACTCCTAGTTGCTCAATCTAATGGCCTTCCTGGTTTAATTCGATTAACTATGGATGCATATTTACTTTGAAGCACTATTACAAAAATTGGTTTAGGCCTCCCTAGGTCGTGGAGATTTCCAGCTAGGCGGCCCCTTAGCGCCTAACTCGGTCGAATTCGGCTATAAGTTAATTTGTCCATTTTGATGGGGTTAGCTGAGTTCGACTCAGCCTTGCTAATTTTTTTCATTATACATATATATGTATATACGGATACATATGCACTAATTTTTTTATAATTAGTAGTCTAGGCGTTACTCTACTGTTCGATTAGGACCAACCATGCTCTGAAGTAGTTGGGATACCAAATTGAATGATACATTCCTATGTGTAAATGCAGGCAACAAGGGACTATGCGGAAAGCCTCTAAAGTCAAGTTGTGACGCTCAAAGCCCTCCTCCAAAACCGTCTCCCCATGGTGGCGGAGGCGGCGGCGCTACCAATGCTGAAACTCCATCTTCATCGTCATCGTCTAAAATCCTAATGATTCTAGCAATATGCTTGTTGGCCGTGGCAATACTCATTTCACTCCTCATCATTTCTCGCGGCAGCGGCGGCGGTCAAGAGAACTCACAGGCGGCGTCAGACAAAGGGACACGCGACCCCTTATTCTCGCCCTACAACAACGCCGGTGCCAGCCCCGCCTCCGGCGGCACCGCCACGACGCGGGCATCACCGTCGTCTGATAGGGCGGCGGGAGGCAGCACCCCGAACACGAACAGCAGCTCCAGAGCCGGCGATGCGTCGGGGGCGTCCCCGGCGGTCGGAAAGTTGGCGTTCATGAGAGCGGATCGGACGCATTTCGATCTGCAGGACTTGCTGAGAGCGTCGGCGGAGGTGTTGGGCACCGGAAGCTTGGGGTCCTCCTACAAGGCGGTGCTTATGGACGGGCAGTCCGTTGTGGTGAAGAGATTCAAGCATATGAATCTGGTGGAAAGAGAAGACTTCCATGAACACATGAGACGCATTGCTCGCCTTGAACACCCCAATTTGCTACCTCTTATTGCCTATTACTACCGAAAAGAAGAGAAATTGATGATCTCTGATTTCATGTCCTCTGGTAGCTTGGCTGCTCATCTTCATGGTAATTATATATACTCCTCCATAATTACAAAGTTACAAATTTAACTCCTAATGGGAGTTGATCGCCAACCATATGTAACTTAGGTTGGTTTATATCATTTGACGAAATGGGTCACTGACTTAGTAATCATAAGGTTACAAGTTCAACCACTCTAATAGAGTTGTCTATTGATCTTTTTGGGTTTGAGCTGGTCAGCCATATGTAATATAGGCATGGTTTATCTAGTTCACATCTTCGAGTAGTAACTCGGATCACAAGGTAGGGTTTATCACACTCCCTCCAGCGGTGCGGCAAACCCAATCAAATTAGTCATATGATTGACTTGGTAACCACAAGATTAAAAATTCGACTCTTGGTTACCTGGTTACAAGTTCAACCACTACAAGATGGACCTTTTTGGTTTGAGCCGATCAGCCATATGTAGTCTAGGCGGGGTTTATCTAGTTCACATCTCCAAGTGGTAGCTAGGATCATAAGATCATAAGGTAGGGTTTATCACACACCCTCCAACAGTGGGGCAAACCCAATCAAATTGGTCAAATGATTGACTTGGTAACCGCAAGATTAAAAATTTGATTATCTGTTACCAAGTTACAAGTTCAACTCTTAACATGAAGAGCTTATTGGTCAAGTAACACGTTTTGATTTAAATCGACCAATCTTGAGTAACCTAGACATGATTTATCTAGTACCAGAGTGTTAAATAGTGATGATTGGTTTCCTTGATTATAATGCAGGCAAAGAGTCCAGGCTTGAGTGGGCTAAAAGATTGAAGATCATCAAGGGAGTGGCGAAGGCACTAATGTATCTTCACAAGGAGCTATCAAGCATGGTTCTTCCACATGGCCACCTCAAGTCCTCCAACGTGCTTCTCGACAAGTCCTCCAACCCAATCGTCATGGACTACGCACTGGTCCCGGTGGTCAACCCCGACGAGCTTCCAAGCCTCCTCACCGCCTACAAGTCGCCGGAGTACACCAACCTCCACCGACCCACCAGAAAAACCGACGTCTGGAACCTTGGAGTACTCATTCTGGAGACCCTAACCGCCACGTCTCCGTCCAAGCACCAGGACTCCCAACTCCGGACTTGGATCAGCTCCATCGCCGCCAAAGACGCCGAGGCCGACGACGATCGGGCCGAAACCATCTTTGACTCAAAGATGGCCGGCGACGCCAAAAACAGCAGAGGACAAATGCGAAAGCTCCTCAAGATCGGCGTGGCTTGCTGCCATGAAGATCCGGAGGCGAGGTTGGAGTTGAAGGAGGCGGCTGAAAGAATCGAAGCTTTGAAGGAGAGGGACAATCAATGAAACCTAACGGACTTGCATTATATTATATTGCCCAGTTGATAACGTTAGATGCATGATTATTGAGCATTTTATATGCATTTATGTATACTTATTACGATACTATACGTACGTGTATTGTAAGTGCTAACCCTATTGTATGTATGTATATATGTATGCCCTTAGTTGCAAGCTCTTAACTTTTAATGCAACCAAAATAGTTGGAGTAGTTTTCATTTTCTAGTTTTTCAATGTATATATTTTTTAAACAGAAATGCTACAAAAATCATTGAATAATAATATTTGTACCTACTCCAACTACAAAATATTTCGTGTAATGTACATGTTATATATGATTGACTAATTATATATTCAGTTATATATAATACATTATATAAATCAAGATTATATTTTAGAGCAATCAAGAACGCAATAATAGATAGCTGGTTCTTCCCTACTTCTCTACTTCTCTACTTCTCTACTTTATCAACTCGTCTTTCTTAGCTTGATGCTCAATAAAGTGGTTGATTAGATAGTACATGTTGGTGATAATGAACCAAAATCGATTTATATCCCAAAAATAATATTTATATATACACACACAAGTATATAAAATATTATTGGATATTTATCCGAAATATATATATACACACAAATATATATAAGATGGACCCAAGGGTTATATATACATGTATATCTACGAAAAAGATATACCAATATATATCAATCAAAATTGGAACTAATAATCCTCAGATTATAAGTCCAGTCCAACGAATATATCAAAAGAGGGAGAACGGATTTTTGCTTAAAAGCATAATCCAAAACAAGAAAGAAGGAGAGGAAGAAAGATTAGTACGAGTTAGGCGAGGTGCCTTTCTTTCCTTAAAACCTTATTTGCCACCTCCCAAAAGTGCTAGGAGCGTTGTGGCTTAGGTTTCCCAGGATAAAACGTACAACGGTTCGACGTTTGAGCACCCAAACGAATGAACCCGGCGAACAAGAGCACGGACAAAACACAGCTTCAAGAATGGAGTAGGAGCAGAGTTTTGAGAAGAAAAGGTGCTTACCGTTGTGTGTTGTGTCTCTCTTGTTCTTCCCTTCACGTTGTATCTCACTTTCTCACTGTGCAGTACTAAGACCTCTACTCCCACTACACTCTTATATAGGAGGAATAAGATTTAATAGCATATTCATGACACATAAAACCCAACATTAATCCAATCTAATAATTGTATAATAACGTTTGAAACGGCCGTACTTATTATCGAAATAATATCAACGGTCACGAACTTAATATCCGATTAATTCGTACCGATCGTAACGACCCGTTTCAAAAATCTGAGTGACCGAGAAGTCTGTACAAACCCAAAAGATTAACGAATTGGGACTGAAAATCACACCCGAGTAATCCATATACACCGAAACGGTGCAGCACGAATCAATGCATAAAGCACCAACTCATACTGCACGAAAGGAGCCCAAATCTCCAAAAACGAATCAGTGCTCATAAGCCCAAATTTGTGCTTAATTCCCAATTCAAGCTTTCTCAAGCTTATCAAAATTAAGTTGCACGAGATGTGCTGCCAGCACAATTAGCATTAAGCTTAAATTTTGACTTCTCTCAAATAGGTTCACTTTGAGAATCAATTTCTCATTCACCTATTACTCATTTTGAGCGTACATTATATCAAATTCTTCGTCTCACTACGAAGAACCCGAATCCACATTGACCCGACCCAAATCGGAGATGGATCTCACATATATTTGTACCACAAAATAATCACTCAAAATGTCATTTTAATACTATTTTTCCAACAGTACAAACTACAAATATATCTTAAAGTGTGATATTTATTCAATTATTATTTTTATTTGATTTCTTTTTAAAGTTGTACAGAGTATATATTAGGCTTCCCTTGAAAAAGGTACAAAATAGATCCCGTGGTAGAGTATTGACTCTTTAGCGGACTAGGAAGGGATGAGAATATATATTTTATCAAATTTAAATGTAAAATTTGAAGTAATATACTATATACGGGGTAATTAGCAATCTCAAGCAGATGAAACTCATGAAATATGCAAAACCTTATCTGATGCAAAGGAAGGGGACAGTGCAGTGAGTAAATTCACATCCGCTTGAGAATTGAGATCAGAGAGATGGCCGTTGCAACCGCAATAACGGTTCAGTCTTCTTCCTCTACACACCGCCTCCTAAGTGGCCGCCGCCGCCTACATTTGCCGTGCGCTTCTCCTTCCGCCGCCGTTATCACTAAAAATTGCTTCATCACCTGTAAAATCTCAACAATTCATCGAATACGCTGCTGCTCCGATTCATCATCGTCTTCGTCGCGTGGCTTTGGCTCCAACGACTCAAAGGTATCATCATATCACCTCCTATATGATTCCCAGAGCAATTCTGTATTCTCCTAAGCTATATTGCTGTATTTCCGTTTTTGTTCTTATGAATTGATATGAATTGAAGAATAAATAGTACTGTAGTGTTCAGTAGCTGATACTGCTCCACCGCAGGTCAAGAAGAAATCTTCAACCTCCAGAAAGGACTCTAGGTGCTCCTACTATCTCTGCACTTCCTTTTTATGTTTTGGATTATGGAAATTCTCCCAATTTACACACCGAAGATTTCAAGAAAAAAAGTAAAAATCATTTAAAGGGCAATTGGGATTTTATATTTTGCGCGATAAAATGTTGTTTTGGCACAACGGATGTTACTCTTAGCCAAGTTTGTTCTCTTGTTTTGAGGATAACACCCTTCAAGATCAGAACTTTGGGCATTTGTGTGATACGGTGTACTTTTGAAGAAGAATAACTCAAATCTGCTATTTGTATTCTTCTTCTTTTCTTTTGAGAACACTACTTTTCATTTCTCTTATTTACTTATGAGTAATGTATGTATTTTGAAATATAAATGGTGACAATCCATTTAACTTATTGTAACTATCTGAATAATATCGTGGTTGTTTGTGACAGGAAACCTCCTTCTCAAAGATCTGGTTCTGACCTTAATCGTAAGTGGTTGTTCATACCTAGCATATTATGTAATTTCTTTTAGTATGATTGATTTTCTAGAAGTTTTAAGGCAGATAAATTTGACTTTTGAGGAGTTTTGATATTGATAAAGTATAGTAAAGGAAGAAAGTTCACTTTTAGAGAAGCTGGGCTGCATGTTTATTTTTTAGGAAATTAGAATGTACATAATTTATGCCAGAGAGAGAAATATTCCCCTTAATGTGATACCTCATTGGGTTCCTTGTTTGAATCATGCCATGTTTCAAGTCATTCTTTTTCCCCATTGCAGAAGCACCTAGTCTAAATCCCCAAAACAATGTGTTGAAGTCAACAAACAGTGTAACGGATATCGAGTTTGAGGAAAAGCTGCAAGCGATTAAAAGGTGTCTCTACAATTCAACTCGTCTTTTAAGTAATTATGTCACCAGCTACAATTGAATTTTGAAATAATTGTTTAATTTTACCAGTACTTGCATAAATTGATTAGGTCAGCACTTGAGCAGAAAAAAGTTGAGGAAGAGACAAAATTTGGAGCAATTGACTATGATGCTCCAGTTGAGCCCAAAAGTAGTAATGTTGGACTAGGTACTAAGGTAGCATTCCTGACTGATGCCATTCCATACCAGTGTGAAGCTCTTCACATGAATATTGATCAAGAATAGCAACATCATGGAATTGTACAGATCGGAGTAGGAGTTGCTGTTGTGGTCTTTGGATTGGTGTTTGCCCTTGGTGACTTTCTTCCCTCTGTAAGGTGTGGTTTATATGTTCTAGCTGGACAGAATTTCTTAAATTTCGATTGGGACATTAGCTATTCTAAAATTTCTAGAAACTTTCCAATATTTCATTATGTCCTTGAGTTGTAATGTTCCATTTAATTTTTCTGTATATCAGAAATTTAAAAAAGAAATGAAATGAGACTAATAGGTGGATGCTACATCCTGATAGTTGTGCTTCATAAATGTGTTACTGCTGGATGGAATACTGAACTCCTTCCAATATCCCATTTCCAATTTTATTATGTCTTCTTTAACTCATTATATCCTGTAATTGTTTTTGAGCCAAATATGATCCTAATATGCCTTTTGGATGTCTAGTGTTAAGCCCACAAAGGAAGTCACCGCAGCTGATAAGAAAATTTCAGAAGAGGAGAAAGCAAATCTTCAGGTAAAGTGTATGACATTAATTGAATCTCATTTGAAATCTTTGTATGTACAAGCGTACTTTGTTTAGTTGAGTTGGTTGTTCCTGCCAATGGGATGAAGCTATATTGGGAAATGATATCACTTTTATATCACCCTTATCTATATCTTTATGCTTTCGGTATCAGTTTTCTAAGCCTAGAGAGTTGCCAATTCCTTCCTTCTTAGAGAAAGGAAGTTTGCATGTCCCTAGAGAGTACTACAATTGCAATTTAGAGTGCATTCTTTACCAAGCTATAGGGGTTGTATTGTTTGCTTCTCTATTTTGCATAATTTGTATTTTATTGTTTCCAATGGAAAATTCTTTTTATTCTTTTCCTAGTTCTCCTGCTCTCCTCTTATAAATTATATTCTGTTTTAAATATTATTATCCCTGCAGATAATTAAGACATCATCCTTAATTGTTTTTGCAGAAGAGCCTGAAGCAATTTGAGGACGCCCTTGCTACCAACCCAGAAGATCCAACTGCTCTCGAAGTTAGTTGTGATCTTTATCTTGTAATTCTATATTGCAAAGTTCCACCTTGATTTTGCCACATCAAGATACAACATTCTTTTATTTCCTTGTTGAATAGTTTTAAGGTTACATTCATTCAGTTTGGAGATGTCTGTTAATCACATTGAGAATAGATAAAAATAAGAATTACTTCTTGATTAAATAAAAAAGAGTCCCCCCCCCCCCCCCCCCTCTCCAAAAAAAAAAGAAGAAGAAGAATTTTCATCCTTGTAGCTCTCGTTTAGTGTCATTTGAAATTTATTTACTTGCTCTCAATACTTTCCTATGTGCCCTGGCTCAAGTTTTGAATAGGCATTTATGAGGATGTAGTAATTTTTCTGCTTTTTAGATGATAAATTACAGACCATGGTATTCTGCATTTTCCATCTCTAATATGGGACTTCTTAAAAATCTTCTTTTGCACAATTGCCTTGATCTTGTGATGTACACTACAAAATATTTCACATTTATTTCCTTTAATTGTTTGTGCCAATGGATTCACAATCTATTGTGGATGTTTGCAGGGGGCAGCTGTGACCTTAGCAGAACTAGGAGATTACACTCGAGCGTCCTCTCTGCTCGAGAATTTGGCTAAGGTTTGCTATGTCTAAGCTTTTTTATTTTGGTTCACAAAGGAAATTTGCCGTTTACATATCACAAAATGTTGATGCTACTTAAGAAATCACTTGCTGAGATTGCAGAAGAAGCCAAATGACCCTGATGTTTTTCGTTTGCTTGGAGAAGTTAAGTATGAACTTGGAGATTATGAGGGCAGTGCTAGTGCTTATAAAAGTTCTGCAATGGTCAGTATTTTAATCTATGGGTTCCCTTCACATATTTCAGCATGATTACTGCTGCAAAATACCACCACATTTGTTGTTAGTACATATACAGTGCTGGTGTAATTCGGCACTAGGTTTTGCTGATAATATATGTGCAGCACGTGCTAATGTTTTTAAATTCAGCGTAGTTTGACTAGTTTCTTTAAGCATATTAATCCTTTCATCATTTCATTATAGGTATCAAAAACTACTGATTTTGAAGTTCTCCGTGGGTTAACAAATGCACTGCTTGCTGCCAAGAAACCTGATGAGGTTGGTCTACTCACTATACTAACAGCTACTGTATTATTAATTGAGAAAATTGTAATTTATGCCCTCACAAATATGCCAATTATCAATGTCACTCCTGAATTATTAGTGGTGTAAATGTTGCCCCTCAATTTTTTAAACGTGGTATATATTGCCCCTCCCCTAAATTACCCACCGTTTTCCTTGTTTGAAGACTACATTTTTTTTCCTCCATTTTTTCTTTCTTCATTTGTTCTCCTTCCGTCGACAATAATGTTTCTCCTTCCTATTAGGGGAGGGGCAATATATGTCACGTTTTGAAAATTGGGAGGCAACATTTACACCACTAATAATTCAGGGGTGACATTGATAATTGGCATATTTATGAGAGGCATAAATTACAAATTTTTCCCTTATTTATTTGTATTACCACTATTTATTTAAGAAATAAATTGTTAGAATCTAAGATCGGGCCAGGGTCATCACTCAACTAGGTTGTAATGCACATGGGCCAAACCACACTAAAAGACTGAATCTAATCAATTAGCTAGTCTAATCCATGGCGTTATAAACCAATATGTTTCTATCTTATTTTCAATGTGGGACTCTTAACATAAATAAATAAGAATTCTTTGGACACAATACTTTTTGGGATTGGAGGTTTGCGTACTATTGGTTTGTCAAGTAGTAAATAAACTGTTTATTTGTAGATGCATTAGTTAATTTGAGTTGTATATATGTTTAGCATGCCTCAAGGAATAACTGTTTATATGATACAAATACTTCTTTTGTAGGCTGTTCAAATGCTTCTGGCATCTCGTGAACACCTAAATGAAGAAAAACCATCTGGTGGTAATGATGGATCTGAGAGCAGTGACACCAAATCTAGATCACAAGTGGATCCAATTCAAGTAAGGTCTACTTTTACGGCACTGATTAAACATCTATCCGTGATACTCTTGATTATGGATCTATATTGTCTTCACATCTTGTATAGTTTGCACAGTATAATAAGCATCATTTTTCTACCACAGAAGAGAGAAAGAGAAAGAGTTCCTTCTTACTGGGAAAAGACCGTTAGTCTGTCTATAATAATCACCTGCCTGTTTATGTTTAATTTGATTCTTAAAACGACATGTTCTGACCATGTTAATCTGGCAAAGAATCTTTTCATTGTACTCCAAAGTTGAATTGTTATTTAGAAAATTAAGTAACGTACACAAATTAAGGATGATTAAACCCAGCAATTTTGTTTTGGTTTAATAGGTCGACTTGCTTCTTGGAAAAGCCTACTCAGATTGGGGGCATGTCAGTGATGCTGTAGCTGTTTATGATCAAATCATCTCTAGCCACCCTGAGGATTTTAGGGGCTACCTAGCAAAGGTTCTTTCTATCTTTTCTTGATACACGCATCTTATTGACCAGCCTCACAGTTGAACAACTATTTGCATTGTGCATTATAGAAATTCAAGATTTATGCCGGCCGGCCTTTGCTTATTAACCTTTGTTTCTGCAGGGAATCATTTTGAAGGAGAACGGAAGTGTTGGAGATGCAGAGAGAATGTTCATCCAAGTAAGTATATCAATATGAATGTTATGGAGTCAGTCACACACGGACGGACTCCATTACGAGTTAGCCTCACGTTACATGATAGTTAAATATGAGATAAAGCCACGCTGACCTAACCTGTATATGATCTTGAATTGGAGTATTTGCATCACCCCTAGATGAAATGTTTTCTGCTTTTAAGTTGTCATCACATTCCTTGCAATACACTCTAAAAGTAGAGCGCTTATCACATATTATAAACATTATATATAGAATGTTCCTCAGATCTTGATTTTTGCATATCAATATATATATCATATCTACAACTTAATTGCTGCAACAGGCACGGTTCTTTGCACCCAAGAACGCAAAGGCATTTATTGATAAATATTCGAGGTGACAGACTATTGCAGTATGAACGCCTGCATCTTTGTTTGATTGACGCATTCCCCCGAAGGAATGATTTCTGGTACCACTCATTTATTCATGTCTTTGGCCACATGTAAATCATAGCTCCGCTGAATTTTTGAAGTTAATACATTGGAGGTGAGAAATTTGCAATATAGTTAGAACTTTAGAAGTGATTCCTGTAAGAAAATCTGTCGGCCATAGAGTCACATTTGTACAGAGTTGGCTAATTGTGAAGTAAAATTTTCACATGCACCATGCTATTGCTTGTGCAATCCCCATAATTTAATGTGCCCGTTGGATGTAATGATCCTGTTTGGTAACACACTGACTGAGTCAATTTTAACTTATTTAATCACTATTAGATGTTTGACTTGGTTAAACAACTAATATAAGTGTTTGATTAATTAACTTTTTGTAACAATTTATTGTTCCAAAACATTAAAATTCAAAAAACTGTTCAAAATAGTTTTTTCGATTAGCTTTTTGAAAAATCAGCTTGTGTTTAATCAACTATTAATTACCAGTTAATTTATCAAATACTCCGTATCTTTTTACAACTAATGCTATCAACTAGTCAAACTCACTAACCTAATCACCTAAAAGCTATTTACCAAACACCCTAATATAATATTTGTTTTTATAAACTTGATTATTGAGATTATGGCCTATTTGGTAAAATAGTTAGCCTATAGGTCAATTTTGGCTTATTTGACCACTATTAGTTGTTTGACTTGGTTTAAAAATCAATATAAGTGTTTGGTTAATTAGCTTTTTGTATTTTAAAATGTTAAAATTCAAAAAGCTACTCAATGTAACTTTTTCAATTAGTTTTTTGAAAAAAAATTATACCAAATAGTTATTAGCTAACCGTTAATTTACCAAATATTTTTTTACAATCAGTTAATGTTACCAACTAACTATACTCTCTAATTAACTCAATCAGCTATTAGCTAACCGTCATTTACCAAATAGGGCCTATATATTAAGCCTAACGGGTGTTGATTGTGGATATGTATTGTTTACAATCATTTATTTTTTTTTTTAAGTTTACAGAGTTTATAGAGACAAATACTATCTATACAGTATTCGGGTTGTGGGTTGTATTAGATATTTTAGAGACAAGTTAGTGTTTTTACAATACTCAATATAATTTGCATGAATTTTTTATAATATTTGATACAAATTGGACAGTGCTAATTGTCGCTATATAATTTTTCTATATATTTAATAATTAACTTTGTTTATGTTTGGTAAGGTTGATGGATGAATACTTCTTAGTTTATATATATATTTTTGAAAATACTTCTTAGTTTATATAGTTCATAATCAATAACTAATCATTAATGAGACTATGACATGCTTTTCTAGTCTCGAGCATATTAGGGAATGCTTTTCAAAATTAAGACTTGTTTATAGTGTAAAGTCAATAAATTTAAATTTAAATTTAAATTATTATGATAGAATTTTTTTAAAAATTCAAAATTAAATATCTAGATCTAAAGAGCTTTGGGCCAAATTTTTCTTCGAGTAAGCAGTCATGCAACTTTACGACACAACCGAAGTAGATTAGTCCCATAATAGTGAGAATATCATACAACATATAAAAAGATTAAGAGAGACTTTAAACTTTGTGTTTGAGTCGTTATCAAATATGAATTATTCTAAGATTCCAAAGTCGTAGTGATTGAGGCAAGAGGTTCGGTCTCAACCCATTTAGTAAATAATCGATTGCCACTATTACGTATCTTTTGTTTCTTTTAAGGCTTAAGAAGACGATATCAATCTAAATTCTTAACGAAGGGATGTACTCCTTTTAACTTTCTAATTATTTTCTAGATCAATTTTAAATTCAACGTTAATACTAGTCATGTTGGCAACTCAAAATTAAAAACAATAACGCTTACATATAATACAAAAACTAAATTTATTATTACTTTATAACTTGGAGAATTGGGATCAAACCAAAAATACACCTTTCTCAATAATTAATTAATAAAATAGAATCAAATAATAGGTACAATACTAACCAACTAGATTTGAAAGCAATAGAAAACGGTAGTACCGTGGTACCAATAGTGCCGCCCATATCAACAAGTTGGTATATATAATAATTAATTAAAATGAAATTATAAAGTATAAACCAATAATGTTGTAATAATGAGCAGCTAGGCAGATCATCTAGCTGGTCACTACCACTCCTCATCATATTTATTTATAATTTAATAATATCTAATCATCAATGAACAAACAATATTCTGAGATCAAGACATGGATGTAACAATAACAACCTTTTTCATTCAATTTTTTTTTTTTTTTTGATTGGGATGGCAATATGGATTGGATTTGTCTATCAACAATACCTATAATTTTGATTGATATAAATAAATTATGATTTTTTTTTCTTTTTAACTTTGAAAGGTCGATCACCTGGCCTACTAACAGAAAAAATTGCATTTAGATAGAATTATACCAACTATTATAAATGACACAATATGTGAAAGATTAGAGACATAACCAAGAGACATTAACTCAAGTGAAAAGCATTTGAATTCCTTCAATATGTACAACAATATTATAAGAGAATTACCCTTAAATGGAGTCTATTGAAGTACGAAAAGTCAATGAGAAAATTTTGGCCCCTTAAGTTAAAAGTGAAAAATTGGAACAAAGTCAATGCAAAATCAAATGTGGAAGCAATGATGGACCAAAAAGGAAAAAAATAAAAAGTCATTGCATTTTCCCCCCTTATTTTAGTGATGCTGATCATTTCATGATTGATGGTTAGATCTAACGATACTAGAGCAAGGAAGGAAAAATATCATGATAACATTTTGATAATTTCTTCAACTTTAAGAATGTAATTTTAAATATTGTACTGTGTATTTTTTGTCATTAAAAATGTAATACACTTGGGAACATCTTTTAGAGTTTTTTTTTTTTTTTTTTTTTTTTTTTGATTTAGTATTTTGCCTTTTCGTTTGGTTTATTGATTCCCTCTTTACTGCTTAGCTTATAGTTTAGTACTTAGGGTTTAGGTTTAAGATTTTTCTTTTTGTTTAGGTTTTAGGGTTTATCTGAAAATGCATCCTATAGTGTTAACAGTTGCATTCTATAGTAAAAAAAAAAAAAAAAAAAAAAAAAAAAGGCTTTTGAAGTTGAAAAAAATTGTCAAAATGTCACTGTATTTTTTCTCTCAATTTGCATTAGATCTGTTAGATTATTCTAGATAGAAGACTGAAATTAATTATTAATTTTTCTTTTAAGAACAAGTTCTCATATAAATATGCTATACACGACATTCAATTTTTCCATCATTATAAAACTAATAGAGATTTGTTGACTCAAAACTTTACATACTATTTGTCTCAAGAGTTTACTTTATTACAAATATTTAATTGCTGAAATGGTAGCAATGTCATTGTAATGCCGCGTGGAAGCTAAGTGTAAACAAATACTCTTGCTAGCAACTCAACTTATGGATAGAATTAGTCAATTCGATGTACAATAAATGTAATATGACTATGAAATTATAAATAATAATCATCCTAATAATAACAACAATAATAGCAAAAGCAAATGATTATACAATCATAGCAACTAACAAGCACTCATCATGCAATAATCAAATAATTTTAGTCAAGTCAAGCAATTAATTAGTTAAATTGTCTCACTTGTCTTTTTATTAGACTTTTTTTAATGTACTAATCGATTATATTATTGATTCTAAAAATAACAAATTTTTTATTTTATACTAGCTTAGTCTTAAGATTTTTATCATCTTAGCGTCAATTTATTTTTTTACAAGACCTCCCCTATAATATTGTCACTGCAGTAAAGTTTAATCACCAAGTTCATAATGGATGGACTGATGTGATTTCTCTACGCCTAGGACACCGAATGATAGAATCATGAGAAAAAAATACAGAATATTAATATCCATGCTAAAATTTGGATATCTAAAAATTTATATGTTTGAATGCATGTTACACCCTTTTTTTTTGTGCTAATAAAAGACTTGTGTGTGTAACATATTGCAAGGGAAGGTGAAATGAATTAATAACACTTACGACATGTTTGGTTCAGATAATGAATTTTGAAGGAATAGAAATGTTATTTCATACGGGATGATATAAATAAAGAATATAGTAGGGATTATATTCCATTATTTGATTCACTAAACAAATAGCTTTCAGGAATTGTATTATCATGTTTGATTGGTTTAAGGAATAAAAATATAATAAGTATTCAAAAGACATAAATGTCTTTTATATTAAATGTTATATACGTGTGTGTAAACAATAATAATAATAATAATAATAATAATAACAACAACAACAATAATACTATGTAATTATTATTTATATATATATATATATATATATATATATATATATATATACACTCCCGTGCAAATAGAGCGCAGGGCCGGTCCTATCATTTTATAGGCCCGGAGCAGGATAAAAAAAGGGGCCCCGGTTAATATATATTTCATATCTAAATTTTAAATTAAATAAGGAAAATATTATTAATATCAATAACTTTAAATAAGATACAAGTTTTTAACAATTTATACACAACAATAATCATGAAAAAAATTTCTAGGTGCTTTTCTTAATGCAAAATAATAAATAATCGTATAAGTGTCTTCATAAATAAATAATATTGTAGTTTATAAAAATGAATAAATAATTTAAAATCGAGTAAACTTATAAACAATAATATTTATCATAATAAATAATAAATTAATTATTATTAAAAATTTATAAAACAATAATTACAAACATATGAAAAGCTCAAAAAAAAAAATTTGACTAGGAGCAAGAAATTAAAATATTTCAAAACACGATAAAAAAAATGCAAAAAGATATGAAACATAATTATCTAGATAAAATAGTTTGAACATAAATCATATTATAAATCACACATCTTCTATATTATTTATATGATTTTTATAAATACTTTTTTTTTTTGAATACAAATACTTTTTCTTTTAAATAGATAAATTTTAAACTTTTTTAAGAATACTTTGAATACATATAATGACACATGATAAAAGCTTCTATATTACATTGATTAGATATTCATAAAAAGGTACGAAGTAAATTATCTTTTAATTTTTTTTTTTTTATAATTCAATCTCAAAATATATCATATAACCCCCTCCGTCCTATTTTTACGTGTCTTGTTTGGTTAACATGAGTTGATTGAAGTTTTTTTAATTCAATTTTTCATAATATGTTTAGTATAAGTATATAAAAATTTATAAATTTAGAAATTGCATTAAAAATTTAATATAAAAATTTATATATTTAATATAAAAAAAATTTCATAAT